ACACAGAACAACAAAGAGCTGCTATTAGTAAGGACTAACACATAGTCAGTGACAGTATTAAGATTTAGAGTCAAATGGTCTCACTCAGAGTAATGTTACTATACCAGGGTGGCCAACCTCAGTTGGCCTGGGGCCAATTTTCTGGCCCTGAGATCGTCCAGGAGCCACTTAGACTATCAAAATCCTCAAATATGAACAAAATGAAAAATTGTTGGGTGTTTTATGTTAAACAGTGCATGAAGACCTGTGACCTATTGAACAAGTAAATCTTTGCTCCTGCAGGCTTTCAAGACATGGCAGTTTACCCCTTTTTGCAAAAAAAAATTGAAGAGGGTCAGGGCCTTGAAAAACATCTTGTGTTTTCTCCATCTCTGCTTAACACATTTTAAATTACCGGTAAATGTTATTATTTTGACAGGATTATAGGTTATGCCAAATTGACATGTTTACAGAACCAGATGGTTTAGGGGCTGTGAGTTCATATTTTGATGACACAGAAGAAACACGATTTGGTTCTGCTCAGAAGACTTGTTCGATTCAAGTGCATTGGGGCATGTAAGTATAATAATAATAATAATAATAATAAATTTTATTTTTATACTGCCCATTGGTAGTCCAATCCGAGCGGTTTACAACATAAACATTAGCATGTAACATAAAACAACATTTTCCCTCCCACTTAGGCTAGGCCCGATGGAGATGGGCCTGCATCTTCCCCCCCAGATGACGTTGGATGGAGTGGAGGGAGGGCTCCTCTTCTTAGGCTGGACCCAATGGAGATGGGCCTGCATCTCTCCCTCAGATGACGTCGGATGGAGTGGAGGGAGGGCTTTTCTTCTTAGGCTAGGCCCGATGGAGATGGGCCTGCATCTTCCCCCCCAGATGATGTAGTACATGGATATGCAAGGATATTGTTTTTCAAAAAAATGTATTTGCAGTTTTTAAAAGATGTAAGATTTATGCATGACATTGCACTGCCTTTTTGTTCAGACTTTTAATTAATGATGATCATTTAAGATATGATCAATTGATAAACTCTATGTATAAAATATGTTATAAACAGTAATGTATTTTGTATATCCTAGTTCAGTGATGGCGAACCTATGACACGAGTATCAGCACTGACACATGTAGCCATTTCTGATGACACGTGGCTGCTGAGGTGGCCGCATGCTGAGAAGGATGTTTCATCTTTGGCTTTTGCACAGCCAAGTGCAGTAGCCGAGAATAAAACATTTGTTGCTCCTGAGGATGAAACATTTGCGACCAGAGTCTTAGAGTTAGACTCTAACTCTAAGACTCTAGTCACAAATGTTTCATCGTCCCCTATTAGACACTCTGTGCTGGAGGTCTGTAGGCCAAAACAACAGAAATCCAGCATAGAGCGTCTAGTTCTGGGACTTCAGGCACAGCGGCACCACCAGCGTGGGGCCGGGAAGAGGCCCAGGCGCAGGCCAAGATATTTAGGCCAGTCCCTCCTTCTACTGGCAGCGAAATAATGTTTTTTCCTCAAAGTGACACACCACCCGAGTTATGCTCAGTTTTTTTGGCAAAGTTTGACACACCATGCTCAAAAGGTTGCCTATCACTGTCCTAGTTAGTAGAGATGTTCTTATTAAAGACAGAAACGCATCTAACTAAACAAAGATTGTTGTTGACAATAATTACCTTTTTTTTAATCGAGAACGGAAGGGGGGCTTAAGCCTCCCCCAAAGATTCGGCTGGATGGGATTCAGCCTCTTCCTCTCAGGGAAAATTGGACCACCAAAACTCCTATATTGAGCTCCCTCAGAGATTATCAATCAGAAGTGCAGGAAATGATTGTTACTTTGCTATTGTTTTCTTGATATTGAAATTATTATCATCTTTAGTGGATGATTATTGTTTTAATGCAATGTATTCTATGTTTTCATTATTTTACATGAAAGTAGTCAAAATTAAAAACAGCTTACTGCCATTGTTGATCCCTTATCTCCCCAATACACCACAAGAAACAAATGCAGTTCACCATGTTTTAGCAAACAGTTCTGGGGTTCCTGGCTATGTGCTTTCAAATTATTTTGTAGTTTTCGTTATAGAAACATAATATTTGCCCTTGTCCTGACAATGTTGTAATCACAATGGTAACTTTTAGAATTGGAGAGAGTAAGTTTCATAGCAGTGATAAACTAGACTTCTGAGCTATACTACGCTAGCTGAATATTTTTCTTAACATTACATATTTTTCATTGGGATAAATATATCTAAATGTTAGGAGCCTGACCAGTGCAGGATGCAGAGTTAGTTCTTTTCATAACTATGGTAAGGAGACAGTGAAAAGGGCCTGCCTTTTAACCTCACAACAATCCTGTGATGTAGATTAGTCTGAGACAGTGCCTGGTCCAACATCACACACTTAACTTGACATGTTTGAACAAGGATTTGAACCAGCTTTCTGAACCTGGAAGCTTCCAGGGGTGTTAGACTACAGTTGTCATTATCCCAACAACTATGGTCATTACACCAAAGTAGTGTTCTGTGTTTTCCATAAAAGCAGCGTACTGAAGGCGGCATTTTTGGGGGGTGGGTGGGGGGTGGGAAGGGACTAATTTTGAATTTTATTGTATTCCATGCACTTTTATTTCTGTAACCCACCCAGATTCCTTTTGATTGGGTGGGCTATAAATAAATAATTTATTATTATTATTTTATTAGAAAAATGGGAAATATTACACTTTGATGAGTAAGGAGATAATTCAAATAAATTATGAGTAAATGCCTCATCATTGTATTAGACTCATACAACTGGCCCTCCATATTCATAGATTCTGCATCCACGGATCCAGCCATCTCCAGCTTGAAAATATTCCCCAGAATTCAAAAAAAAACCCCAAACCTTGCTTTTGCTAAATTCCAAAAAGCAAGCCTTGGTTTTATATAAGGACACCATTTTACTATGTCATTGTACATAATGGACTTGAGCGTCCATAGATTTCAGTATCCATGGAGGGGTGTCCTGCATACAAACTCCAGAGGATACCAAGGGCCCACTATGTAGAGATAGTGAAACTGATGATACTCATATAGATAAATATTGATTAAATGTGATAAATGCATTTCAAAGTGAGAATTCCATAAAATTGATTGATTGGAGGCAGATGAATTACAAAAGGACAAAAGAGGAATGTTATGCTTAGAGGTGTTTAAGTTGTTTAATCTAGGGATCTGCACTGACTATATCAGTTTAGACACTGGGTTTATAGTTGGAAGACAGCTCAGCTGTGTTCTGAGTAATTCAGAAACCATTCACATTCACATTGTGATCCTAATCCAAATTGCAAAGAAACAACTTATTTGTGAAATTATGATATAATGGTTTCAAAAAAGATATACCTAACAAGTGGATGTGTTTCTGCATGTTACTTCTTTAAGAGAAACTTTGGTACTAGAAGCAGAAATAACATGGAAAGAATAGGGATAGATTCCTACACTGCAAAAAAGAAGGGCAGTTGAACATGGTGCAGCACACTTTATTCAAAACTAACATTATGTCCATGTGAAATGATACAACTAGGACAGCTGAGTCTTGCATAAGTAAGCATACAGTGCACCTGTGCCAAGTGCGGGCTGCCATCCACAGTTTGAGCTTCTGCGGACAGCAAGCCCCAGCTTTTTGAATGGGTGTGCACACAGCAGCGCAACCAGGAGCACACACACATTGAAAAGAACAGGACTTAAGGTCCTGCATTTTTTGCTATCTATGGGGGGTCCGGAATGGATCCCCCATGGATAGCAAGGGTGCACTGTAAATATTCTGAACCTTCTACAGACCTTTTTAAAAAGTACCCAAGATGACTTTCAGCCTCCTCTTTTCTTAGGATTTCCATTTTGATGGAAAAACGAACATATCAAAGTTATTTTAGTCCGCTAGTGAGGCAGGCTTATCTGCTCTCCCCCTTTCTCTGTTTTGCAATTCACAGCTTCTATTACCTTTCCTGTTGTAGGCAGGAACAAACAGCTTGTAGTAGCGTGGGCTAGAGTAGAATCCTGTTCTTTCCCAACTCAAGCTTTACTGCATTGTTCAGTGCAGACATGTTGCTGCAACCTGGCACCAAAAGTCTGTGCTTCTCCAGCCCACCTTTACTATCCTCCCAGTGCTGAAACTGCTAAAAAATATCCAGCTTGACAATTGATGAAATGGATTTTGTCCCTCGTAGCTTGCCATCCATGAAAGACCGTAGATAGCAAGTCCGCGAACAGCGAGGGACAAGTGTATATATAAAGATATTAAATTAATTTGACTGGAGGTTTGCACCAGAGGATGCAATCTCTTCCAGATTTTAGAAATAGCTGTCATGTATCACTGGTAGTTTCCAAAATGGTTTTGCAAAGAGACAGTGAATAAGGCTTTTGCTTTTGCTGCCCAATTCTTTCACTGGACAAAATATGCTGTCCCCATTCAATACATCAGTGTATTTGCAATCTTAGCTTTTTTTAGTTTCATCTTTCTCCAGAATACTCTCATAAAAATGGGTCATGGTGTGATTGAGTATTCTGGGAATGACAAGCGTATTTCTAGTAGGTGTGGATGTGGGTGCTGTGGGCATGCCTTGACAAGTGCTTACCTCCTTGTCATAACAGCAGCTAGGCAGATTAATCTGGCACTTTAAAATATGTGTTGTTGTTTTTTAAATGGTAAGAGAAATATGATCACTATTTGTATTACAATATTCATGGGTTCTCAGAGAGACTCACATTAACCTTTACAGTAACCCTTCACATTAAAGCAGTATTATATCCTCTGCATAATCTTCACATTGGAGAGGCTAAACCTGAGAGTGGATTGCAGGTGTGAAAGTTGAATGTATTTACTGCCACAGTCATTTATTGTGATTAATGTTAATTTAAATAGCCTTAACAAGAAAGATGTTTAGATCACGATTGAGATTGCTGTTTTTATGATTATCTCACAATGTGTTTGACCCATTTTTATTATCTGTGGCTATAGATCTAACCTGAGAGCCAGAGTGGTGTAGTGGTTTGAGCTTTGGACTGTGAGTCTCAAGACCAGGGTTCAAATCTCCACTCAGCCATGAAAACACACTGAGTGACATTTGGCAGTCACACACTCAGCCTCAGAGAGAGGCAATGGCAACCTCCTTTCTTAAACAAATTATGTTGTGAACATCCCATGAAAGGCCCTACCTTCTAGTCACAAGAGTCAGAAGTGACCTGAAGGCACACAACAACAATAGAGCTGACTTGTTCTTATAAAAGAAAGAGAAAATTAAATGAAAACATTTCAGTTGCTGGAAATCAGTATATGATACATATTTTTCTTGCATGGTAGAGTGACAGACTAGAATGATGAACTTTGGGAGTTCAGTTTGTCATGTTAATACAACCATTTTTAGTTGTTTTATCTTAAAGGAGTCGCTTTACTGGTTCCATTAGCCTTTGTAACTCAGTCTGATTTTGAAATGGGATATTGAATCAGAGTGTTTTGTGGCACACAGTGTTACTCATCCATCAACATGTCTGAAACAGAAATATGGGCAGTGATGGTGATGATCATCATCACCTCCCACCTTTCTTCCAGTTTAGGACTCAAAGCAACTTAAAACAAATTAAAAAACAAACACATAGTTAAAAAATAAGCAGTCAGCAGCCATTTTATGAAATACTACTTATGAACTTTGCTGGAAATGATGGTGAACAGAAGAGAAAACTTATCTTTTTATTTGGGCAAGGTCCGACTTAGCACTAACAAAAAGAAAAGCCTCCTGGCATAGTACAGTTGGCCTCCCTTGGCCACAGAGTCTTTATATATGGATTTAATCATCCATAACTTGAAAATATTTTTTTAAAATATTTCAAAAAACAAACCTTGATTTTGCCATTTTATATAAAGGACACCATTTTACTATGCCTTTTAATATGATGGGACTTGATCATCCATGAATTTTGGTATCCACGGGGTGGGCGGGTCCTGGAATCAAACCCCAGCAGATACCAAGGGCCCACTGTAATGGTGAATTGCTGCTGTGTGCTCTTGCATACACAATGATCACCACAGGAACAAATGAACTTCTGCCTGTGCCACAAGGCCCTGAATACTTCACTACACAGACCACACATTCTAGTGCCACAGTCAATTTTGCAAGTGATCTGATACAGTGGCATTTGTGTGTATACACACACATGTACTTGCAGGTAGGTCCAATTGAATTCCATGGAAATTGTTCATGAATAGTTACATAGCATGATACTGCTGGATGGTGAAATCCTAGTTTTAAAAATGTTTGTGTATTACTCCTATATTCTTCTTTTCTTTGGCAACATCAAATGGCTTCAGTGGGACTTCCTTGGGTTCCTTTCAGCATCATTTTGAGCAGACTTTCACATGATGCATTAAGGCATTCTTCTTCTTCACTCCCTTGAACTAGGATCTCCTCCCAAGTCTGTTCCAGAGGGTTTTCCAACCTTCCAGAGTAGATTTCAGGGGTGCATGGCAGGGAGGGAAAATCTGTTCTGTAAATGGTATCCATTCTGTCAGCAAAAGGACATCACTGGGTTTCACCTCTTATTGTTTCTCATCTGGGCACTGAACAAAATGAGTCCTTTTGGGGATTTTCTTGGGTTTGTAGGAACTCCACTTCAAATTTCTGTTTTCTCTTTATAGATGGTTACTTTATGAAGAACCTGGTTTCTTGGGAATTCCTTTAATGTTGGAACCTGGAGAATATCCTAATCTATCATTTTGGGAAAAGAAAGAAGCATATATTAGGTCCTTGAGGCCCTTAAAAATGGTGAGATATACATGTACTGAAAACTCTGATTATGTAGCACAGTTTCACAGTATACTGTAAAATCTTTGAGGATTCAAATAGCTAAAGACAGTTTCAAAAATATTAATTTTTTTTCTAATTTCTTTTATTGGATGAAAAGAACTTTTGGCTGCAACATGTTTCAGTTTCCATTTGACTCTTATTAATTGCAACTGTTACTATTTTGTGAAATTCTAGTCTTACCGAATTTATAGGATTATTTCTGTCTTTATTCAATAGTTTCTTATTTTAACTGAGAATTTAGGAGTACTCTTCACTTATGTTGTCAACTTCTTTAGCAAAATTAAAATGAAATAATTTACCACTGATTTTTTTTAATTCTTCTATTTCTGTAGGGTGGACGTAAAGTTGAATGTCCTGAAAGCCCAAAGGTAAAATATTTCAATATTTACATTTCCTATTTAGTTAATAAGAGACAGGATAAATATGTATCCCTAGATCAGTTAATAATTATGTGAACCCTGCTGCCTATTATGTGAACATTAATGTGCAGACAACATATATTAAGTTATTTACCCTAAATATTTATTTCCTACCAAATATGTCTCCATAGAGTCACCAAAATGGCAGTTTTGTTTTTTGAAGCATTTGTTGTCTATACATGTTCTGTATAGGGACTTGGTGGCTCAAGTGGTTAAGACACTAACTCTGTTGATTGCAAGATTGGCAGATTGGCAGTACAAGGCCCAGGTGTTGCGTGATGGGATGAGCTCCCATCACTAGTCCGAGCTTCTGCCAGCCTAGCAGTTCGAAAGCAGGCAAATACAATTAAATCGGTACTACTTTGGTGGGAAGATAAACAGGGTTCTGTCCAATCATGCTGGCCACATGATCACAGACTAGTCTCTGACAACGCTGGCTCTTCTGTTTAGTAATAGAGATGAGCACTACCCCCTAAAGTCGGACACGACTTGACAACCTTGTCAACGGGGAATACCTTACATGTTCTGTAAATACAAAACAGATGTTTCAATTTAATCTATAAAATATATACTATAATAAGTAGACCCTGATACATCTTAATAGGGTGTGGCTGGAACTGGGAGCTGACATTTTCTTGATGACAAAAATTCCAAAGAATACCAAAGGGTTGCTTAATAAAACTGACACTTTTGTTTTCAGTTCTGTGAGGGGAAAAGCTGAGGAAACTTGACTATTCAGATTTGCTACAGAGAGAGAACATGTGTTGTATTGTAAATTATGATGAATTCTTTTATGGATTATGTTACAAATTATGCAATCATCTTGCATTTCTGCAAGAAGGTTTTGCAATTCTCAAATGTGAAAAGAGAAGCCCTGTAGTATAATCTATTTAAATATATTTCTGTCCAGTAGCACTTTTTATGTTCAGTCTGAGAAAAACATTAGTTGTTGCCTTGCTTCAAGTAATGCCTTTTATAGTTCTTGAAGGTAGACTAGTTAAGATTCTTTCTCATGTGTAACTTTTCATCCATACGATATACAGATGGATCATAGAATGTTGAGCTCCTTTCTCATTATTTGTTTAATGGTTAAGTCAAGATCTTTGAAAAGAATATGTTATTTTATAAATTAGCTGCTAAGTTTGCCAGAAGATAGGCTTTTTAACAGTGATCTCAAAATTTAAGAACACTTACTACTTTTTAATGGCAGTAGCAGTTATGTGCCAGATTCCGTATTCTGTCGGGCAAAAGTAAAGATTGAATTAGAAAGATTTTGACTATTTATCATTTCAATTTTATTTTTTTAGATTTTATCCTTGGTTTGTCTAACAATCATGTTCTTATAAACTGTAAGCCATTATGGGATTTAGGCTAAATTTGACAATCTTGGATTAATTTTTAACTTGTGTTTAATTTGTTCACTTTCATTTATGTAATACAATTGTTAGTTGTTTCCATTATATTTTGACAATGCAGTCTCAGGATCCAATATAGCACAATCTTACTTCTGCCAAAGTACTGGAACTTTCTCTTCTGCCTCTGACAGTCTTCTGCACTCTCCAAAAATCTGCTCAGCTGCTTTTACAGCCTTTTTTTGAGGGCTTATCTTACAGGTCTTCCATAGGGACATTTTGAGGGAAAGCATAGTACTAAAAATTTACTATTACATCCCTGTTGTTCTAAAGGTAATCATTTATGAGAAGCCATTCTTTGAAGGAAATCATATAGAACTTGATTCAAAATTAGTAGCTCTGGCTGAAGAAGGAAATCAGGTGGATGAATCAGAGTTGGGGAAAGTACTGTTAACATCAATAGGATCAATAAAAGTGAAAGGCGGAGTGTAAGTATAAGGCATTAAAAAAACAACCAGTGATACTTCATCCAATAGCTATGCATGTCGTTTGTGAATCAGAAAGCTAGCCAGCTTGTCCATGTTCACAACATGATGGATCATAATTTGTCCAGATATGCAGCATATCCAGACAGTGCCAACAAAAAGGAGAAAAAAATAATGGTTCCATCATATTCCAGGGATAACAGTGGATAAAGCATAAAAGGTTGCATCCAGACTTAGAAAGACCCATTGAAATATTCGGGACTTAAATTTGTCATGGCTAAAGTCCCATTGATTTCACTTGCTCTGTGAGTAGACTTATTTTACTTTAAGTATGATTTGGCACCGAAATAGACACACAAAGACGGATTGGGGCCATGGTAGCTGCATGCTGCAGCCCCAATCCACTGTGACACCAGCTGAAAAAGGAGCAATTTTCAACCCCTCCTTTTTCAGCTGCAGAAAAGCTGCCTTTAGTGGCTCTTCCACAGTGGCTTCGCGGCATGTTGGGGGCTTGCAGTGTGCAGCTGCCATGCCCCCAAAACGCCCTGAAGCCAGCTGATGTGCAGCTGCTCTGGGTGCCTTCAGGGCATCATGGGGGGGGGGTGCAGCATGCTCCCAAGCTGCCCACAGCCGCCCCAAAGGTGGCGTTTAGAGCCAGTCTGTTCTGGCTCTTAAGTGTGGATCCAATCCTCGATTATATGTTATTATCCATGTTTTCCCTAGTGAGTGAACCATTGTTAGTTAATACATGTACAAAATAAATGTTTCTTGAAAGTTACTCATGTCTTCCTAAATTTATTTGTGAATATTGTGGAAGTAGATAGCATACTGCTATGTTTATGTTGCGGTGAAGTGCATTGCTGTCATGTGCATGATAACTCTGAAGTAAATACTGCTACAACCTTAAGTTAGTATGTATGGAAAGTAAAAATAAATACCACATAGGGGGTTATGCTTATTGTTAAACATAATGTACAACTTTCTGA